AACAGAAAACTCCCTTTTGCCAAGAGGATTTGTTGAGCAATCTAAGCAGTGAGAAACTTGTCTCAAAGTTTTGATCAGTAGGGTATCTCCTGATGTACAATATTGAGGTTAGAGATTTCATTTGTTTTATTCATTCTTCTTGCTAAGCATAGTCTTATCTCTGTGTGAGAACTGTTGTCCCCAGACTCCAGCTCAGGCTCTGATAGCTTTTGTAAGAGCGACTGTATCAACATATTGTTGTGTTGAGTCTCCAAGGCCATCTGGGGCTTTGTGCAGGCAGGGTGCTCGGGCATGAGTGTGAACCAAAGCAAGTCACCATTGCTTGGCAGGGACGAAATGCACTGCTAGGGTCTGTCCCTGCCAAGCTGGACTGCTTGGCTCCTGTCCCACTCTTCAGGGGATTGTCTGCCAAAACAATCTCGTATTGTACGGCATCGTGGCTACATGGCTCAATACTCCTTCAACCCCTCTCAGGAGTTATGTTCCTGTTTTTTGTTGAGTGGAAACATGTGAATTGCCAGCTCATAACCAGGGGCTACGGGCTGGTACCTTCTGTCAGTTGTCCCTTATACCACTAGGCTGGCTCAGGTAGAGCTTTTCGCTAGGAGCTGTTGACCTTCAGATTGCAACCCTCCTGAAACTGAGTTATTACCTCTTAGCGCTATGAAATAATAAAAATACATATCTTTGTAGCATCTCATGATAGATGCCTGGCTTCTTGGTGCAGCAGCCTCAAACACCTGGCCATTTTAATGTGGGTCTCCAGCTGGGACTCAGGCTACCGTTCCCTTTGGTTCCCTTTGATAAATCAAGCCCTTTGTGAGCAGTGGCTGCCTCTGAGACCTGCTGGCAAGCCCAGAGACCACCCATTCAAGGACAAGGCAAGATATCAAAGTGAATGTCCTCAAGAGTTTGCTAAGAGATGATCATAAGACAATAAGAGTATAATAATTCCCTCCACATTCCTTGACACATTTCTGTATTCGTTCAACCCAGATATGTATATTGTGAGTTATTGTGAAACACACATGCATCTTTGCTTGTCAAAGACACTGTTACAAGAATCTCCCAGTCCACTATCTAG